GGGGGGTAATAGGACCTTAGTATAGTATGAGTGTGTCTCTGTGATTTCGGGCATAGGTTGAGGGGGTACTTGTGCATTTTCCCTTTATATTTAGTATCAGTATTAGACAATTTTTAGTATCATTTAAAGCAGAAAACATTATTATATGCAGTCAATAGTTTAGAAACTTTTTATATGTGTTACAATTTGATAAAATTTATTTGTTTTATTGCAGAATATGAATTACGTCATTAAACATATTCCAACTAATGCATTAAAGTTTGGTCCAACATACAACACAAATTTTGTTGAACACTTAGTATCATCTATTAAGGATGAAGGTATGAATTTATTTAAAGAAACAATTTTCGCACCATACCTAAATATCCCTAGATGCAATTACCAAGGCCAAATTACTAAGTGTTTATACTTATTAGAGATTGAGCATGATAATTTAGATCAAAAGATTCATATTCGCCATGCCAAAGGTCTATAAAAGACATCATTAATGGATTTTCTATACCTGCTTCATTACTTTGACATCTAGTTGATGAGGTTTATATTCCTGTTATTTGTGGCAAAGATTTTCATTGGGTGTTGGCTGTGGTCGTTTTGAAGAAAAGGTTATACGTGTGTATGACTCATCTGGTGGGTAAAGGAAAAGAGTTCCTTCTGAAGAGATTAATCAGTTATCTGTAATGCTTCCAAACTATCTACATGATAGCAGCTTTTTTGATTAAACAGGTAGAATTAATTGGTTATCATTGGAGGCGTACAAAGACAAGGAAACAGGTGAACTGTTCGGTCCTCAACATTCATTTACAGTTGAATATGCGCAAGAGATTATGCAACAACAAAGCGATAGCCTATAAGTATTTGTGGATCAATTTTTTTTGTTTGATTAAATGTTAGTTTTTAGATTTCCTTTACATTCAAATCCTTTTTTATGTATCTTCATTTTTTTTTGTGATAATGGACTGTTCGTAGCTGCTTATGCAGAATATTTGAGCGACGAAATTAAAATTCCATCCGTTGGTCTTTAGAGTGACTATCTTCGTAACAGATATGAAACATTGTTATGAAAGTATGGCATGGACAAACTCAAGGCTAGATATGTTAGTATGGATCAAGGGCGGGTGTTCTAAACAGGCAGAAGATGCATTGGTTGATGTTGACTAGTTATGACTAGTTATGTTTATATTCTTTTTGAACTATTATTGGAACGGAATATTTTGTATTTCAACCTCTATTTTTCGTTCAATATTACTAAGCATTTTCTAGTTTTAAAAATTTATCTTGTCAAACAGCTGATGGTACTATATTAATTTTTTTAACAATATAACTGTTAAGTTATTTACTCAATTATGACACAAAATGTCACATAACTATTTAGTTAAAATTTATTAATTATTCGGTAAATAACAAGATATGATACTATATTATAATCAGATACGAAGTAACAATAGAATTATTACAAATATGATTCTTATTTAGTATCAAAAAATAAAATTAGTATATATTTATTAAATAATGCAAATTATTGTGTTCAACATATTTAGTATCGTTCAAGAGTTTGAATAATATACTTATATATATATACATTTAGTTTAGTTTATATTTTTGTCAACTTTTTGAATTCAATTATATTAATTAATTAACAGTACATATAATTAATTTTTGTAAAAGTTAGTTCTACAAAATAACATACGATACCATATAAAGTATGTTCATAATATAACTGATAATATTTTTACACAATTATTACTAGTTTATTTAATTACACGATACTAAATAATTTATATAAGTAATATATACAAAATAAATGATGATACCATAGTAAATTATTTTCAGAGTATATTTGATACTATTTTTACACAATTATTATACTAGTTGATACAAAATAAGCTACTCCAAAATATCGTATTTTTTGTGCAAATCAAAATGTATGATACTATATTACAATCAGATACACAAAATATATAATATGCCACGTGTTAGCTACATAAAAAATTCAATTTGTATAGCTTTATTAATTAATACAACATTATGAACATAATATATTTAGTATCGTTAAGAATTACATATCATATAATAAACTATAAATATTTGATATCAATTATTATTTTGAATGGGATAACAAATTTTTGTTATCAGATCCATTATGCGTTTATCATTTTATATAATTGAGATTAAACAAGTTATAAATTTTTATAAATTTGTAAATGTCTTTGCACGTAATATAATACAGTCAAAATTTGGTATATTTAGTATCAAATCAGATTTTGTAGCTTCAATCATTCACATGTTGTTACTCACATCAAATAAAAAAAGTTCACATATTATTAGTACATTAAAAATATCCAGAAACATCATTACACATCAAAGATACTAGAAAAATATAAATCAAGAATCTTTTGGAAAGAAGGTACATGTTCTTTTATTATGGCCTTCTTGACCACAACATCCACAACAATTCATTTTTGTTGTTATCTTTTGGATTTTTCTTTCTCTTTTTTCTTGGTCTCCCAGGCATCTTTTTGTATCTAGGTGGCAAGACCACTTTTTCCAAAACAGAGTCCGGAGCTTTCCATTCTCTTTTGTCTGGCATTGGTTCCATTGGAATTGCATAAGAATTTGTTAATGCATCGTGTTTATAATAATCAGAGCAGTAGGGGCGTACATCTGTTATATTCTTCTTCTTCAAGACGGCTATTGTATGTGGACAAGGTATCTCGTCATGTTGAAATCTTCCATATGAACAAGTTTTCCTCTCAAGACAAACAATGTATTTAATTCCACCTTCATACACTGAAAAAATAAACTCAGAAGATGCAACAACCTGCAATTTTTTAGAAAATAGAGACAGTCAACAAGTTTTTTTTCATTTTTATTTAACAATAAAATAATAAATACAAAGCAAATATGTACCTTCATTTTTGCACTTTTTGATGCGTTTAAACCACTATTTCTTCAAATTTTCTACCCAATGTTCTTTTGTATAAGAAGCTATTTTTTTTTTTACAATTTCAAGAACCAAATAGAATTCTAATTTCCTCCAAAATATCTATAATAGGTAGTTGTCGTACATCAACAAGGCAACCATTGATACATTCAGCTATATTTGAAGTCATCATTCTCCCACGGTTCACTGTTGCATGAGACCTAGACCACCTTTCATACCCAACATCTTGAAGATACTTTTTTATTTTTCCATCTATTTTATCCAATTTAACCATAAATTTTTCAAAATCATCTTCTGTATAAGCCTTAGCCATTGAGTAAAAAAGATCACTTAGAATGGTCCTGCTTCTCCTAAAGTTTGAACACACATTTTTCCAGAGGTGCCATATGCATGCAAAATGAGGAACAATTGGATAAACAATACTCACACCTTTCTTTATGCTTTCAATTCTGTCAGATACAACACACATTTTTTCCCCTCACCAAATGCATTCTTAAATTGTTGAAAGAACCATGTCCATGAACTATCATTTTCTGTGTCAACAATTCCCTACGCCAAAGGCAATATGCAACCTTAATATATAAACACAAAACAACATATACTAAATAACTACTTAATATTAGGAAAATAATAAAATAAATTCATAAACAACATGTCATACCTGCTCCATCGAGTGTACTAGCAGACACAAATGTACCTCGATAAGCTCTACTAAGATGTGAAACATCAACAACAACAACTGGCCTACAGAACTCAAATACTCTCATATTAGCCTTAATGATATGAAAAGATACATAAATTCGTTGTATTCAGACTTATGCATCCTTATATATGAATTTGGATAAAGTTTCCACAATACATATGTATCTTGGCATGTTTCTGTATCCATCAACGGTTTACCTCTTATAAGTTTCAATGCACGCTCTTTTGCGCGCCATGCTTGTTGATAAGAAATCTTAACGCCATACATTTCCCTGATATCATCAATTATATCGCTCAGAATATGTTTTCTTTTATGATTCCCTAATTTAGGCATTGTCACACCACTAACAAACTCAATTGTGGCTTATACCTTGTGTAATACCCCATCCCATATCAGTCCGAATACACAATGGAGACGAATTTCCTTCAACAACGTATCTGATCTCTATATATTTTTTGATTCGTCAATACCCAGCTCAACCGCAATTGCTGAAATAAGATTCATGAATGAAATATTTTCACCAACCACTATCCCATCACTTTGTATCGCTCATACATAACATCACTTTCCCATATTCCAGAATGTAGCAACAAGATTGAAATATTCATCTTTGAAAATTCAGAATCGGCGTTCCAGAGATTCTTTTTTACGCAAAATCATTTTTTTTAATTCAAAATTTGAATTTTTTAATATTATGAAATTGAATAATGCAATAAATTAGTACGTTTTTTATACAGATTTGATGGTAATCTTTTTAAAAATTAACGTAAATCATGAGAAAATTGTTATCCTTTTTTTACGCCGTAATAGTTAACATAAAAAAATATTAAAGTATCCGGCCATTTCTATTTACGTATCATTTTGTTTTATAAAGTATCCAAATTTCTCAAAAAGAAGGAATTTTTGATAAATATTGATATTATAGGGATAGAATGTAATTTGTCAATACAGTATGTCATTGGCCTAATTTTTACACTTTAAAAGCTGGAAAAAACTACCGAATCTGACAAACATTTTATATACATTTACAATAGGAATAACTATAGAAATTTTAACTTTTAGTTTAATAATTACCATTATCCCCTATAAGTTTTACAAATCTCCAAAATCTTCCATTTTTTTCTTAAATAAAAAATATCATTAATGTATCCAACCCTTTATTAATGTATCTGACTATCTTTTTAATGTATCAACACTTTGGTTTTTGGCCATTAATGTATTCGGACACTCCATTACTATAACCTCCCTCTTTTTATTGTATCAAAGCTTTGATTTTTCGGTCATATACGTATTTGACCCTCTTTTTAATGTATCAGCGCTTATATTATTGTTCCATTTGAGAGATTTCTGTATTTATAAAATTTTAAGGGATAAATTATAATTTTGCTTTAAAAGTATGTGATTTCTGTAATTTACCCAAAATACTCACTTCACCCTATTTAGTTGTCCACTTTAGAAATAACACACATACTAAGATAACAATAATTAACATTATGAAGTTATTTTATCCTTATGAATTATGATTTCAGTGAATTAAAACTTAGAAATTTTCAAGAAGTTTAAATGAGGGTATAATAGGAAAAAAAGTTATCATTTCTTGATTTGTCAAAATGGACAAGTAAATAGGAACAACTAAAAGAAGAAATACGGACAAGTAAATACGGACAAAGGGAGTAAATAGCTACAATTAATTTTTGTCCAAACTCATCGATGATCCTCTAAAGTTAGCACAAAGTTTCACTTAGACACCTCAACTAGACGATGTTCATTTTAGACACCTCATGTAGGATTTCGTAGCGTCATTTTGACACTTTTTGCTAACATGTAAAAGTGGGCGTAATAAACTCAACAATAGCGCGTGAAATACTTAATTTAACCATTTTTTATTTATTTTCTCTTCTTCGTCTCCATTTTTCAAGCCCCCCCCCCCCCTTTTTTCAAGCTTAAACTCCTTCAGTGGAGGTTAAATTTTTTATTCACATTCCTTTCTAAGTCATTTTTCTTCTTCATTTTATTATTTACCTAAATCTACCATCACCTCACTCCACTTTTTGCCGGAAAATGGATACCTACACAAATATTTCATATTTATTCTCGCTGTCTTTCTTCCTCTCCCTCTATTCTTCCCAAAAAGCTACACCAAAAAGAAAGAAGAAAAATAAATATGAAAAATAGTAAAAGGAAAGAATATTTTTTTTAAAAAGCACAAAAATTATTTTGAGTGTAACGAAAAAAAGATTTTTTTAGAATAATATTTCTATTTTATTTATTAAGTCATGAAATTAATTGTCAACTTTAGAAGGTTACCGATTAGTTTAGCCTTAGTATTTTCTTATATTATATAGATATAACTACACAATAAATAGCAAAGTTAATAATATACAAATAATCAGCAAAGTTATTAATATTAAATAGGAAAGTTATTATTACACAACTAATTGATTATGTCTAGGAATCTTTTATGTGATTGGTATTTGGCCCATGTCTATCTTCATTAATACTTTATTTTTCATCAATATTCCTATATCACAATTTTTTTTGTATCCCCCCCCCCAAATTTCTTCCAATTTAAGATCCTTCTAATGATTCTAGCATCAAGTTCTGTAATTTAAATTCATCATATATCTTTTAATCGATATTTTTCCTTGTTTTTATAAAGATTATATTTGTATACATCTATATTTTTATCTATTTTTAAGGGATTTCGATTAAAGAACTATTTGTTTCTCCATTACATGGGTTATAGTTATTTTTATAAGTTGTTCTTCAAAGTTATCTTCAATTTAGCCCAATATTAATCTAACTGTAGCCCATATTGTGCGCCAGGGACAGATCTCGAGTCTTGAATATCTGGTTTTGATTAAAGATTGGATCGGATTTTGAGTCAGGATTGACACTCAGGTGTTGCTCTCGTGTCTCGATTGCTAGAGCTAGACTTGGTTGTCGAGTCTCAAGGTAGCATAACTAGTCTCACCTCGGGTAAGGGATTGGATCTCGATGCTCAAGTCTTAGATTCCGAGTCAAATTTCTATATATGGGTGGACTAAGCAATTTTGAGCTTCCAAATTCCTTATAAGTAGCTGGAATATAAAAAGGTAACAAGGTAAATGATATTTTGTAACCTAAGTTTACACGGAGAGTATTAGGAAATCTTATCAAGTTAGAGCATTTAAGTTTAAACCTCAGTATAGATTGTTTATGGAGTAGTAAGATTGTCTTAGCTTCTTGAGCATGTGCAAATGACTTAAAAAGTGATAATCAAACTCAAGCTCTTGACATGTGACCCCAATATCTCGATAAAATACTAGTCTTCACTGCATCTTTCAAAGACAAGCACCCTAAATTCCGTCCAAAATATTGCGGGGGAAAGTTGCTAATTGTATCTATACCAGATCTCCTAGTACTCCTCATGGACCATGGTCGAGTACTGATGAGAGTTTTAGGAAAGATAACCAATAGTACTAAGCAAATGTAGTTATCAACTTTCATAGTATTCGATATTCTTCCGAGAATTTTGATATAAAGACAATATTCAAAACTACATGAATACATATTTAAACATGTATGCATAGACATACATGACTAATAGTTCAATAATTTCAACCACATACAGAAATCTCTAGGTTCTTTTTATTACATTGACAAACTCAATTATGAGGAACATCCATCCAAAAATTATACTTCATATTTATTTTTATGAAGAGATCAAACAAACAATGAAATTAAAAAAGAAACTAGGAATCTCGGATAAACAATATTGTTATTGCTACAAAAATAGATCAAGCTTATGAATGAAATATAAATTCTACATTAGGTGAGGCTCGAGGGAATCGCTTCATCTCCTCCATCATTTTCATTCCCCTATGGCGGATTTCTCCAGAAGTTGCAATGTATATTTTCTCAAGTGCAGTTGCATATGCCAATACATGCTTCAAGAATTCTGTTTCAGTTTTATCAACCCAGTAGAGGAGGGTCATATCCACGCTTTTGAGCCGCTTCATTGCACTTTGTGTCATTTCTTTTTATCGCAAGGGATGTGTACATGCACTCGCACGCTTCTAAAGCATCAGACTTGAGAAAGGAAAAGGAAGGTTAATTATAAGAAAAACCTATACATCAACATATGAATTACAATCAAAAGATGAAAAATGAGACATACAGTAATTAGAAGCCTTTCTATGTTGGGGAAGCGGCTGATCAAGTCAAGCACATATGTAACCCAGTCAACCTTGGCAAAGATCAAATTCTTAAAATTCAAAATTTTGATGTTGTCTAGTGTTAACTGAGGCTCTGGTACGGTAAAGGACTAAAACAAAGTGCGACAAAATTAGCTAAAATTACGAGGAAAATCTAGTAGTGCATCAGACAGATATCTCAATGATGATGATTACCTCCAACATGTTAAAAGGCATGCCCAATGCAACTTCCTCAAGCAGAGGGGTTCTTCTAAAGCAAAGGGAATTTGCTCTGCCGCTGAATTCAAAGATTTTTAGATTAGGGACCTCAATAATGAAGCTATCAAAATCACTGCAGCAAACCATCGATACATGCTCAAGTAATGGGCTCGAAAGTTACAACTTGAAAATTAAGGGTAACAAAACTTTGAAAACCTTTAAAGTTGGGAGGAGGGTGGAATTTACAATTATTAAGTTCCAGGTGCTTTAGATCCTGAAAATTTGAATAGGTGAGAAGGAAGGCGAAAGCATATAAGAAATGCAAGTGATAATTCCTGGACATTTTTGTTAGACAAAAACACAATCCAGGTTTCAATATTAGAAAAACGGTTGGAGCTAGGGTACAAGAGGCTAAATTTGCGTACTACTCCTTGATGCATCAATAGGACTTTATATATACTTGTTTTCAGGAGTTCTTTGTTGATGTTATAATCAAACACTAGAGGCTTAATGTTTACCAAGTTAACACTAGAGACTTTATAAATACTTGTTTTCAGGAGTTCTTTGTTAATGTTTACCAGAAAAACGATCAGATCCATTATCTACCAAGTTGGGATTTCCCCTTTACAGAGTTGCATCCAGAGGCTTATCAGTAAACGAGGCTTACTGTGTTAGCAGAATGCTCCTCCGACTGCAGAATGCTTTAGAAAGTTATGAACCCCTGCCCTCTATTTTTTACAGTTGTACGAAGTAGGCAGTCCAAGTGTAAATGAAATTTTTCCCCTCATTTTGATAGTCATTAAGTTTGTCACTAATGTTATTTTATAAGGTTGCTTGTGATTGGTCAAGAGATGTCATTTAGGACACTAAACAACTCTTGATTGGTTCTTGTTCTGATTGGAGTTTCCACGTCATTTAAACACACGTCATCATCTAGTAGGTCTTGAATTTGAATAAAATGTCATATCCTTAAATACGTTACATGAGTTTGCGCCTTCAGTGAAATGGATCATCAGTTCGAAATTTAATCCAAATTTAGTATGAATTATACCAACAATTTAATGTGTTTGCAACGTTCTCTTGAGATCCTGACCAAAATAATATTACATAAACCTTTGAGAGTTGTCTAAATCTGTTTCGTTACATAGTAAATGGTAATAAATATCATGATTCATTATTTTATGGGAAAATCTCAAATATGCTATCAGACATTGAGAAAAAGAGTTATTTCTATCATCAGTTAATAGTTCTAATACACAGTTTATAAGACTCAATAATCATAGTACAATAGTCACAATTCAACAGTCAACATGTATCATGTATGTAAATCACAATAGTCAAATGGATCAATCACAAGTATCAAATGTATCTATGACAATCAACAAGTAGACCAATCATATGCAATCAAGTATGTGATTGATGCACTTGGTACTTCTGATTGATCCGTTTAACTCTTATGATTGACATACTTGATACGTGTTGATTGTTGAATTGTGACTATTGGACTGTGATTATCAAGCCTTGTGAATTGTGTATTAAAACTTTTAATGAATGACATAAATTAGTCTTTCTCAATGTGTGATATCATATTTGAGATTTTACCATAAAATTATGAAACAATGACATTTATTACCATTTCCTATGTAACGGAATAGATTTGGACAACTCTTAAAGATTTATGTTATTTTTTTTGGTCAAGATCTCAGGGAACGTTGTAAACACATCAAAATGTTCAGTCTGATTTATACTAAATATGGATTAAGTTTCAAACCAATGGTCAATTTCATTGAAGGCACAAACTCATGTAACGTACTCAAGAATATGACATCCTATTCAAATTCAAGAGAAACAAAATGATGTCTTGTTTAAATGACATGGAAACTCCCAATCAGAGCAAGAATCAATTAAAAGTCGTTTATTGTCCAAAATGACATGTTTTGACCAATCACAAGCAACTTTATTAAATACATTTGTGATAAACTTAATGACTATCAAAATGAGGCAACAAAATTCACTTACACTTGAGCTGCCTACTTCATACAACTATTAATAGGGGAGAGGGGTTCATAATTTCCTAAAGACATAAAACATTGAAGAAAGCATTATGCAATCTTTGAAGGCATCCGCAAGTAGAAGTTCTTCCCGGAGATCAACCTGAAACAGCATCATGCTTCCCGACGTTCCTAAAGTCCAAGTACATCTCAGAGATTTATTTCTATAACCCTAAATCATGTTTGATACATTTTTCAATATTGTTCTCATGTTCGATTGTGATTTCTTTTCATTTTACAACAACACTCATTTCCCAAAATCTCTCCTATTTTTTGGTTAGAAGTAAGAAAATATAGATGGTACAATTCAATCTATAAGTGGTTTATGATATTTACCAATAACTACACAACTATAATTTACAAAAGCTAAGGAAATAGTTGGACTTTCTTATTTGAAAAAGTGGCATTGACAGATGTTGCAATTACCTGATGATCATATAAGTAATTAACTTCATTGATTGATGTTGAAGGAAAAGCGGATATTTAAGACAAATCTACCTCAATTGCTATAGGTAGAAATGTGTTGGAATTAATCTAGGTCATATCGGGATCTCAAAAGGAAATTGAATTGAATAAATCAAGTTTATCTATGAATATGTGCAAATAGACCTGTACATATTTCTTCAAATTTGAATCTAATGTTGTCTGATTCTCGATGGAATTGTTTCATCTCATCCATCAAAGATCTCCTTCAGTACAGGTTCACATGCCAATATAGACTTCACAAATTCCATTTCCATCTCAAAACCAATAAAATAACACATCTCCACACTTCGTAGCAGCTTCACAGCACCACACGACATTGATTTAGCTCATAATAATTGTAAAACAGGTTCCACAACAATGCCTACTACTCCCTAGAATATATTTGGTAACAGTTAGGCGGGTTCAGATGAAGAAACCATATTAATACGTACAATGAGAAAATAGGAAAATGCTTAGTGCTTACACATTCAATTGTAAGTTATTGTAATTTAGAGTAGCTTGTAACCAGTGACCTGTACTTGGAACCTTGTCAACATTATATTTCAGAAAGATATATCCAAAATACAGAGAAATTTGACATGCTTTAGAGCAATCGGTAGATTCTCTGGTATACCTCCCATGGTTTATGATATGTACCAACTTTGATTAATAGACTATAAATGTATATTTCCTCTATTGATGAACCGCCTAGTTCCAGTTTTTCCAGGGATGGCATGTAAATGGAATAACTTTGTAAGATAAGAACAAAAAGGTGATGGATCCACAAAAATTCTTGACTTGAGTTGAGCTACATAATGATGCTTCTAAGTATCGGGGTATTTTTGAAGCAAATGGAATTTGATGTTCCAAGAAATTTTGACATTTGAGATTGGTGGCATCAATTTCTAGAATATCAAATTCGGTGCACCAAGTCAACCACAAACTTTCAAGCAATGGGCATTTGGATGTGAGAACCTAAATATTGTTGGATCAACACTTTGACAAGAAGAACATCCAGTAATAAATATCAAAATAATACGTCAAATTAGGGGGATATAAGAATAGTCTTGGAGCAGTAAACTTTAGTATGGGTCCTTGATGGATTCGCAGGACTTGGTAAATGATTGTCTTCACTACTTGATTGTTGTTGAAAGAAGCGAAAAACTCACTAAGAAAATCAAGTTGTGCACGTGTTACCCATTTGTTCCTCCAGTCTTTTGATAAGATATTGCTCTTCGCTGCATCTTTCAAACGCAAGCTTCTTAAAATTTTATCCAGGATATTACTACGCAAATTGTAGCACTCTTCGTGATTTAAAACACAAGTTTGTAGTCTAATAATTCAGATCTGGATTAAAGAAAATATTCAAATTCTCATAAATACACATTTCAGCAATGTATACATAGTCTTATATAACTACTAGCTAGTTCAACTTTTTCAATTGCATGGAGCTTTATCATTTCGCCAATATCGGAGGGAAAAATAATGATGAATGTGAGAGTATGAGGAAAATGTTGATTGGAGACAACAATGGTGATTTTATGAATACAATCTAAAAGATTCAATAATGTATATACACCTATATAAGGATATTTCACCTAAATACACATCACATATCTTTGGCGAGGGGAGCCAAGAAAGTTATTTCCAGTTCAAGAAAAAGATCTTGCACAAATCTATTCGTGCAATTGGCAAGACCTACATTAAAGCAATTACCTTATTTTCAATATTTGGAACGCCAGACAACTATTTGCATTTCTAAAAAAAGATTTTATAGAAATCTATACTTAACATATGAGATATCTACTCTAGCAATTTCTTTACCAAAAGCCACCCAGATTACTATAAGATTATAAACAAATTGAAGTGTGCAAAAATAGGCTCCAAAATGTTTGGGAGTTCCGCCCCTAGGGTTTTTGTCTAGTGGTAAGTGTGTTGCGTGATTAGGCATACATCTTGGTTTGCAACGGATGAAACCTACTATTTAGGCTGAGAAGAATATAATTTGGCCGTATATTCTTCTCGACTTAAATAGTAGGTTTCATTGGTTGCAAACCGAAACCCAAGATATATGTCTAATCCATGCAACACACTTTCCACTAGACAAAAGTCGTAGGGGCTGAACTCCTAATTATTTTTGGCGCCTATTTATGATTTCTTACGATCTGTCCATTATATGGATAGTAATCAGGGTGGATTTAGGTGAAAAAAATGCAAGAGTAGATATCTCATATTTTAAGTATAGATTTCTATAAATCTTTTTCAAAAATGGAAATAGCCGACGTTCCAAAAATGAGCATGATCTAATGTATGTTTTTTCATTGCAAAGAATCGATATCTACATGATCTTTTTCTGAAAATGGAAATAGTTTCCTACTTCCTAGTCCCCCTCACAAAAAAAAACTATATATTGAAGTGAAATATCTTTATATATATATATATAATAAAAAAAAAATTCAGGTACTCTCTCATTCATCATTAATTATTTTTTCCCTTTATATTGGTAAAATGATAAACTTCTATGCAATCAAAAATGTGAATTTGTAGTTATAAAAGACTATGCATACATGGTTGAAATGTGTAATTATGAGAATTTAGATATTTTCTTTATTTCATATTTGAATTACTAGAGTTGTTTATAAACTTGTGTACTAAACCATGAAGAATGCTACAATGAGCAATTTATCGTGTAATGTCCTGGATAAAATTCTATGGAGCTTGTCTTTTGAAAGATACAGTGAAGACCAATATTTTGTCAAAAGACTAGAGGTACAAATGAGTAACATGTGCAAAACTTGATTTTCACAGTTAATTTTTCAGATCTTTCAAAGACAATCCAGAAGCCAAGACAATCATTTACCAAGTCCTACGACTACATCAAGGATCAATACTAAAGTTTACACTCTGCTGTCTTAATTTGACGTGTCTTCTTGATATTTATCAAAAAAAATGTCTAGGAATTCACCCTTCATATATTCTAAGGCAATATATATCATTTACCTTTTTATCTTTTAACATTCCAACAACTTAGACATCTCGAACTTGATATATTCCACCATCCACCTGATATCAAAGGGTTTATGAAACCTACTAGTTGTAATCTTCAAGATATATGTCTAATCCACGCAATTCTAAAGGTTAACAGGTAGATAACTAGGGAAAATTCACCACTTCGTACCCATGTTTCAAACCACTTGATAGTACTACATTAGACTTTTCACCCGGTATGCGATAGAAAAGTGTTTGTTACTCACAAATAGTAGCTTGTATGAAGGAAGAAGTTGATCTATCAGAATTAAGACAAGGATGAGAGACGAAAGAGACTTTTCAATCGCTACACATTGGTTTGTTGTTTAGGGGTATAATTGCTTCCTTTCTGAAAGAGATGAAACAAATCACACAAAGAAACTAAAAGGATCGAACAATCTCAATGGTGAGTCGTTTACCTAAAAATTTCAAAAATGAATATCAACTTCTTGGTATATAAACTCTACGTTCGGTGATGCTCGAGGGAATTGCTTCATCTCGTCCATCATTTTCATTCCCCTATGACTGAAATCTGTTGTGGTTACAACACCTATCTTCTCAAATGCAGTTGCAATGACAATACATGCTTCAAAAATTCCATTCAAGTTTTCAGGAGTCGTCCTTTGCCAACGTTCTCATCAAGCACTAGTTCGGAAATTATTACCCACTTATAGCTTCATTTTCGTATAATTGAAAAGCAAGCATCCTAATATCTTCTCAAAAAGATCACAAGGCAAACTACTAATTCTATCAACGACAGAGCTCTCTCCACTCCTCTAATTAGTGGGCATAAGGTAAATTGTGAATCGAGTGGTAAATGCATTATCATTAGTAGCTTTTAATTCTTTTCTATATATGTGAACTTCAAAACTAGAGAAACTCAATATAACAATGTAAAGTATATATATATATGATTAGAGTTAGAGAAAGGAGGTGGATATCAATTCAATAGAAAGTTGTAAGCATATATATGACTATTCCGCTCTGTCCCTAATGTAAAAGGCTTTGTTACTCACAAAATGCAACACAACAAAGGGGTTTAGACCATAGCTTGAAGCTAATCAATCAGAATTCACAATTTCTGTAAACAGTCTTGATCCCTAATAGATAGAGACTGTTTGCTAACTTTTTTTCAAACGCAAAAGCATATCAAAATCATATATAGATTCTGTTGAAGAAATCAATAAGCATTCGTACCAGAAAAACGGCCAGATCCGTTATCTACCGAGTGTCGAACTTTATGTCAATGTTGGGATTTCACCAGTCAGAGAGTTCAACTCAGAGGCTTACCCATAGGAGAGTCCGCTGAGAGAGATCGAAAGCTGCCCTCTATTTTCTCTAGGGTGATGTTTTGTGTTTCAACTCCATGCTTAATGCTTCAGCAGAAACTGGTTCAAAACTTTATAACCTATCCAATCGGTCCAAAATTTCATATTGGGCTTATTTTAGTCCATTCAAACATAGCCCAATTTTAAAAGCTGAAAAAAACTACAAAATCTGACAAACATTTTTTTATATACATTTACAACAGCAATAACTATAGAAATACTTTTAGTTTAATAATTACCATTATCCCTTATATGTTTTACAAATCTCCAAAATTTTCATTTTTTTCTTAAATAAAAAATATCATTAATTTATTCGACCCTTTATTAATGTATCTGACCATCTTTTTAATGTATCGGCACTTTGGTTTTTGGCCATTAATGTATTCAGACCCTCCATTATTGTATACTCCCTTTTTTTAATGTATCAACGCTTTGATTTTTTGGTCATATATGTATTTGACCCTCTTTTAATGTATCAGCGTTTATATTATTGTTCCGTTTGAGAGATTTTTGTATTTATAAATTTTTAAGGGATAAATTATAATTTTGCTTTAAAAGTATGTGATTTCTGTAATTTACCCAAAATACTAACTCCATCCCTATTTAGTTGTCCACTTTAGAAATAACAGACATATTAAGATAACAATAATTAGCATTCTAAAGTTAATTTATCCTTATTAATTATGATTTCGGAAAGCGTGAATTAAAACTTAGAAATTTTTAAGAAGTTTAAATAAGGGTATAATAGGAAAAAAGTTATCATTTATTGATTTGTCAAAATGAACAAGTAAATAGGAACAACTAAAAGAAGAAATACAGACAAGTAAATACGAACAAAGGGGAGTAAATAGCTACAATGAATTTTTGTCCAAACTCATTGATGAGCTTCTAAAGTTAGCACAAAGTTTTACTTAGACACCTCAACTAGACGATGTTCAGTTTAGACCCCCCCCCCCCCCACCACACACACACTACCTTTTTTTCAAGCTTAAACTCTTTCAATGGAGGTTAAATTTTTTATTCATATTCGTTTCTAAGTCATTTTTTTTATTCATTTTATTAATTCTCTAAATCTACCATCACCTCACTCCACTTTTTACCGGAAAAATGGACACCTACACTCATATTTCATATTTATTCTCTCTGTCTTTCTTCCTCTCCCTCTATTCTTCCCAAAAAAACAACACTAAAAAGAAAGAAGAAGAATAAATATGAAAAATAGTAAAAGGAAAGAATAATTTTTTTAAAAAAAAGCTCAAAAAAGATTTTGAGTGTAATGAAAAAGAGATTTTTTAGAATAATATTTCTATTTTATTTACCAAGTCATGAAATTAGTTGTCAACTTTAGAAGGTTACCGATGAGTTTAGCCGTATTATTTTTTGTATATTATATAGATATAACTACACAATAAATAAGAAAGTTAATTATATACAAATAATCAGAAAACTTATTAATATTAAATAGGAAAGTTATTATTACACAACTAATTGATTATGTCTAGAAATCTTTTATGTGGTTGGTATTTGGTTCCCCATGTCTATCTTCATTAATACTTTATCTTTCATCAATATTCCTATATCACAAATTTTTTTTATCCCCCACCCCACCCCCCAAATTTCTTCCAATTTAAGATACATATATATGGTTTAGAGATAGAGAAAGGAGAAAGATATCAATTCAATAGAGAATTGTAAACATACATATGACTATTTCACTCCGTCCCTAATGTAAAAGGCTTTGTTACTCACAAAATGGAAGACAACAAAGGGGTTTAGGCCATAGCTTGCACAAAGGAAGAAGCTAATCATTCAGAATTCACAGTTTTCGTAAACAGTCTCGATCCCTAATAGATCGAGACTGTTTGCTACTTTTTTTCAAATACAAAATCATATCAAATTCAAATAAGCTAGAAATTTCAACCTAGATTATGTTGAAGAAATCAATAAGCATTCATACAAGAAAAACGGCCAAATCCGTTATCTACCGAGTTTCGAACTTTATGTCAATGTTGGTATTTCACCGTCAGAGAGTTGAACTCAGAGGCTTACCCATAGGAGAGTCCGCAGAGAGAAATTGAAATTTGCCCTCTATTTTCTCTAGGGTGATGTTTTGTGTTTTAACTCCTTGCTTAATGCTTTAGCAGAAATTGGCTCAAACATGATAACTTGTCCAATCTGTCCAAAATTTCATATTGGGCTTATTTTAGTCCAATCAAACATAGCCCAATTTTAAAAGTTGGATAAAACTACAGCATCTGACAAACATTTATATACATTTACAATAGGAATACAGAAATTTCAACTTTTAGTTTAGCTACTACCATTATCCCCTATAAGTTTTACAAATCTCCGAAATCTTTCATTTTTTTCTTAAGTCAAAAATATCATTTATGTATCCACCCTCTTTTTAATGTATCAGTACTTTGGTTTTTTGACCATTAATGTATTCAGACCCTCCATTACTGTATCCTCCCTCTTTTTAATGTATCAACACTTTGATTTTTGGGTCATTAATGTATTTGTCCCTGTTTTTAATGTATCATCACTTATATTATTGTTCCGTTTGAGAGATTTTGCAATTATGATTTTTTAAGGGATAAATTGTAATTTTGATTTAAAAGTATGTGTTTTTTGTAATTTGCCCAATATACTCCCTCCGTCCCTATTTTGTCCACTTAGAAATGACACACATATTAAGATAACAATAATTAGCATAGTGAAGTTACAATTTTATCCTTATTAATTATGATTTCAAAAAGCGTGAATTAAAACTTAGAAATTTTCAGGAAGTTTAAATGAGGGTATAATAGGGGAGAAAAAAATTCTTTCTTGATTTGTCAAAATGGGCAAGTAGGAACAACTAAAAGAATAAATAGGGACAAGTAAACAGGCACAAATTGAGTAAATAGCTACGGTTAATTTATGTCCAAACTCATTGGTGATCTCTAAAGTTAGCACAAATTTCACTTAGGCACCTCAACTAGACGATGTTCATTTAGACACCTCATGTAGGGTTCTGTTGTGTCATTTTGACACATTTTACTAACATGTAAAAGTGGGTGTGATAAACTCAACAATAGCGCATGAAAGACTTAATCTAGCCATTTTAATTTTATTTTCTCTTATTTTCCTCCATTTTTCAAGCCTTCCCCCAAACATACACCTTTTTTTCAAGTTTAAACTCCTTCAATGTGTCACGCCCCGAGCCTATACCCTGAACATAGCCGACACTCGGAGACCATTACTGGCCCCAAGCGAACCTTTGGCCTGGCTTACTTACTCAGCGGAAGGCTTAAAACATTAATACAAGGATTAAGATGCTAAATAACACAACTAAAACTGAAATAAAAATGTTTTGAAAATAAACATTTACCTTAGCTAAAATGGCAACTCAAATATAATAATAAGTTAATAAAAAACTTTGACGAAAGAACTAACATCTGACTGACTATCTATGAAGCCTCTTATAACTGAGATGGATGTTTGGAAACCCCCCCCCCCCCCACAACATCCTAATGAACTAAACTAGAAATCAATGAAGATGGATCCTCCAAAAAGCAGGGAGGCTAACCAACGGACTCTGAACTGCACACTGGATCAATGGTACGGCTGGAATGTCGATCCTAATTACCTGTCGTCTGCATCATAACACGATGCAGGCCAACTGGCATCAGTACATTGAATGTACGAGTATGCGAGTTGGAGTGCTAAACAACATAGGCTTGAAGGAGATTCTGAAAGAAACACTTACTTTGACTCTTCTCAGCTCATGAATATTTAACTAAACTCATTTCAATATTAAGCAATCTAAAAGTAAGTGCATAATAATGAAAAAGTGTTTAAGAATATGATGTAAACTCTGTTGTATACAAAGATACATAATAACACTGAGATGTATGTAAAAGTACAAAATAATCTGATGTCAATTCATAATCATAATAAAAGACATGTCATGATTCCTCTCAAAGTCTACTCGTGCAATGCATTAATAAAGTCACATACCTCCATTCATACTAAGCAGATGCTCTTGAGGAATCATGCAACTATTGTTGTGGGAGTTTCTCTAACTGACAGTTATCACTTATTAGTTATAGTAATGATATAACGTTACTCGATCCACGCTGTTCGGCCCATCCTAACCTTGCAAAAGTATAGGACCTGAACTGCCTAATGAATCCACTAGTAAACTGTGAAAAAAATTCATCTAAAAAGTATGACCCTTTTCTACCCGTGATGGCTACATGGTTTTCATGCAGACTTGAGTTAATTTGAAACTCGCATCCCCATATCGATGCTCAATACTACTCCCAAAATATACTTAACTCATATGTTTTTTAAAAAAAAACAAGTTCTCCTGTATTTTGAGATTGTTGCTCAAAAATTTAGCTCAAAGTCTATCTTGGAAATCTTAGTTTTCCTGCTTGCTTCATTTTATTAAACTATTACTCCTTTCTGAAACCTAGCCCAAAGTCTCTTCGGAAATTAAAGTTTTCGTTCTTATTTAAATGTGAAAATATATTAAATCTCTTTTCGGAAAACATAGTCCCATATACTTCTTTTGAAGAAAGAACTTCAACTTTACTCTTTACTGAACTCAAACTTAAGTCTTAAATCAAAGTTAAAACTTTTGTAAAAGACTTATGAAAACTTGAAATGAACTTCTCTTACTTGACTTTTGATTTTTCTTGTCTTTGATCTTAACTACTTTTGATTTGACTCTTTACTGATCTTGACTTGGCTCTTAACTTATCTTAACTTGACTTCACTAATCTTAACTTGACTATTAACTGATCCTTGAATTGAATTATGGATTCAAAGATTAAGATTTGTGTTTGGAAGGATCTCATGTTGTTTAGAAATGAT